TGTGTCCCATATAAATAAATAAAAAATAAAATTTTGATATATTTGTATATTAGTATATTTAAATGTTGAATAGTCCCGTTCGAAGCGCATTTTCCAGATATATTCGTAAAACCATTTGTAGGATAGGTCACATCCAAATCTAGATTTATTGCCTCTTGGAGTACAGCTGAGGTAAAAAAATTGAAAAAGCTTTGAATAAAAAAAAAAACTTTGTGATAAATTCAATATTATAAGAATAATTTTTAAGTTATCTATATATTGTTATTATTATTTAGATGTCTATATTAAGTGGCTAAGTCGATATATTTTTGTGACGAGCAATTTTTGATCACCGCCGCTGTACGTAATCTCAGTTAGAGTATTTGTCACTTTGGTGCATTGTTCTAGTTGTTGAGTGTTTAGTGTGTGTTTGATTGTATGTGTGTGTGTGTGTGTGTGTGTGTGTGTGCTGGTGTCGCTTGAAGTTTCGTTTCGAGCTGCTGAAAGCCAACACAAATTTTGTATTTATGCCATTTTTTGTTGGCCCAGGCCGAGGCGCTGGAGGCTTTTGAATTTGTAACTGTAACTTTAACTTTAACTGCTATGTTGGCGTATGGTGCAGTTGTTGTTGTTGTTGTTGTTGTTGTTGCTGCTGCTGCTGCACCAGAACGTAGCCGAGTTGCCACACCTTTTTAATGTGCTGCCCTCATTGGCATTGCCTATGCTGAGGTTTTGTTTTTGTTGTTTTCTGCCTCAGTTTCAGCTTGTTGTTGTTGTTGCTGTTGTGTTTTTGTTTTAATGTGCGCCCGCACACTTTGTGCCCACACACACAGACACACACACACACACACACACACACATGTGTCGACAAAAAGGAAAGTTGGCAACGCGAATGCGAAAAACTCAACCAGAGACCAGAGCTGAGCTTTGTAGATCAATCTTAGCTGCGGACTTGGACTACCTTTTGCCGTTAGCCGGCGGCGACGGCAGCGGCAGCGGCAGCGGCGCTCACTAAAATGTTGTTTGTCCTTGGAGAATGTGGCGGAAAAAATAGATAGAAAAAAAAAAAACATTACTCACATATGTAGCTAAGTTTTTATTATAATATAATATATAGACACACACACACACACATACACGCATACACATGAATACACACGCATATATGTATCTATACATCTATATGGAGCTGTGTGTGGATCGTGGCGTTGCCGTTAGGTTTCACGTTGGCGCCGCACCCATACCGTTCATGCCCCTCCCAGCTGCCCCCACTCCCCTCCGCGCCCCTTCCGACCACTGCCCCTAGCCCCTTTTCATTCATGCCATTCCTTTGGCTATGGCAAACGTCAGATTTAGATCGGCTGGCAATCATTGCCGTCAATAGTCATCAACTTTATTATTGCTATGCTAGTTGTTGTTGTTGTTATTATTATTGCCATTATTGATATAGCCTAGCTCAATACATATATCTTACAGTTCGCCTTTGTTTAATTGTTTCGATTATGATTGTAGTTTTTTGTTTCTGCTTTGTTTTTTGTTTTTGTTTTAGTGCCACGACTTCCGTCTGTGCACTCGACAGACAACTTATTTCACCCGAGTCGAGCCTTATATTGGGAGTCAGCATTTAGCCGAGATAATCAGCTAATAGATTCATTAAAATTGAATAGAATTTCCGTGCAGGCATCGATATCGATATCGATACTTGGAGATGCTGGGAAGGTTCAGTTTACAATTCGTGCCGATATTTGCTTTATCTGAAGGATATATTTAAAAAGCGTGTATTCCATTCCATTCATCTGTCTGTCTGGTCGTGGCTTAGCTTTTGCTATTTACGATATTATTTTCAGTAATTTTGAAGTTTAAGAATTTGAGTTTTTCCTACATTCATTCGTGTGAAAAATTCCCATATAACAAATTTATTAAGTAACAAATTTATTAAGTAGATCAATTTTATAGCCATAAGATCTTATGTACGTATATATACTTCTCATAGAGCCCTCACCCAATCAACAAAAATAAACAACTCAGTGTAAGGCTAAAGAAAAATCTCTGTCTTAAAAGATCTACCCTAACATTATCGGTAAATGACCTACACTACAAGACCATAATGAAACCAATGTAGACGTATGGGATTCTAATCTGGGGCACTGCCCGCTATTCCGACTAACACATCATACATCAATTTAAAAAGAAAGCGCTGGGCGCGTTCTCCAATGCATATTTACAAACTTTACGAGGAGCTCCGAGTCCGTTGGGCATATCAGCAGAATTCTAGATTTATCAAAGCCCATAGGAATCGTATAGACGACACAAACCACCAACAACTATGCCAATAACTCAATCAGCAATAGCACCACCCGCTTTCCACATCGATAAGGTTGAATCTCTAGCCACTATTTCCGGGTCTAGTCGTTAAAGCAAAAATGCAAATGTTTACGTAACATTATATAACATAATAATAACATAATTTGCTGATTCTTCTTCTTCTAGGAGAGATGTCAAATAACAAGGTTTTTCTTATTAAAAACAACCTGATAAAAAATATATAGAACTGTAGCTATTTGGAAAAGGAATATATTATTATATTAGTCTTATTATATATTAGTCTTGACGTTGTTAAATTATCATCTATTTGAAGCATTTCAGGCATTCATCCCAGTTTAACTCCTACTTGGAAAAGGATTAAGGGGAGTCTGGAATGAATTATTGAATTATTGTATTGAATTATTGAATTGAAAAATAAAGAGTACTTATATTATTCTAAGTAATAGTTAGTGAAATATTTATATATGTATATATTTAGTTTATTTAAATAACTATTTTACATTTTCACTATATATACTATTTATATTATTTATATAAGTACATATTTCACTTATATATTTTATTTTTTTATTATTTTTTAAATATTTTTTTTTTTTTTTTTTTAATATCTGATTCAGTGTAAATTGTTTGTGTGGACGTGACTGTGCCAGCAATTCCCATTTGCAATTTCAATTACGAAATGTGGATTAGCAATTGATGATTGATTCAATGATATAAATATATCCACAATACAATCATGGATCATTTATTGCTGCATTTGGAAAAGCTGAGTAAAAAACAGATCTGTGGGTAATGTAGGAAATCAAGTACAATCTTTATTGGGAATCTAAATGGGAAATGGAAATGGGAATGAAAAATTTCAATTATTGTAAATTATCCCGAAAAGTTTTGATGCAACAGTTAGAATTGTATTAAAGTTACAAAAAAAAAAAAAAATAATTATAATAATAATAATAAAAAACAAAACAAATAAATTAATAAATTAAATATTTAGAAATTAATAAATAATAAAAAAAGAAATAATGATAATAATAATATTATGAATAAAAATAAATAAAAGTATACAAAGTATATCTCTGTGATATTTATAATCTAAATAAAAAATATTCATATTTTCTACTAAAAAAAAAAAAAAAAAAAAATCATAATGGAAGGCATAAACCTCATTAATTCATATAATATTAACTTAGTAGAATTTTATTTTCTTAATTTAATTTATTTTTTAATAGAATTTTAATTTCTGAAATGAAATTTGTATTCAAATCAAGTGGGAACTCAGAATATAGGAACATATATGTACATAGTAAACCCTTGCATTTCACTTAACCGCCCATGAATACTATATTCATTTTAAAAACATAAATATTTATTTGTATGATGATTTGTATGATGAAAATACTAATAATAATGGGCCATTAATTGAAAAAATACTTTGTTCGCAACTTTGCGTAGTTAAATCATTATAAAGAGATCGTTTTAATTTCTATTTGCATACGGTCACACTTATCTGTCTGAGGCAATAACTAATGCAATAACTCTTTATCCCACAGTGACTGAGCCACGTTTCATACTGAACGGAATTTGCATAAAGTGCAATCGAGTTGGACAAGTTAACGTTCAGATCCTTGCGCCCACAATGTCAGCGAAATATTTCGCTAAATGTTTTAATGTTGATTGTTTATCATTAGCATATTTACGATATGCAATCGTAATCGCAATCGCAATCGCCTCCTGCTCCCTTCACTCCAGCTCTCCTGTTCCCCTGCTCACCCACTGGTTCCTCTGGCATGTAACGTTTCACATTCCGTTTCGTTCCAGTTGCAATTTATTTCGTTTTGTCGTTTGGCCGAGAAGATTAATGGAAGTTCTATAAAGCTGATCATGTGAAATTGCTTGATTAATGAAGGCTTTTTCTTTAATATCGCATATATGTATATGTCTATACATAGATATATTGCTGTTCCATTTAGAGGCGACGCTCGATCTGTAATCTGTATCATTTAGCTTTTTGGTACCGATTATAGCTAGCATCGCCTGTAGTTATGTTGAGCAAATTGTGAAAATAACAGGAATGACAAATGGGGCCATTAGCTAATGCCGCGCATCAAGTCATTTATATAGTCGGGAGGTCATAAGTTCTAAATTGTGGGTCAGACTCTTTCCAGGAAAGAAAGTCTAATCTAACTTGTTGATTGATCAAACTAGATTTCAAATGAAATATGTGAAGCCTGAAATAAAATGTATGAAGTGAATATAAACAGAGTTGAAACAAGTCGAGTGTTATAGACTGCAGCATGCTCATTCATGTATTACTTTTAGCAATAATCAATCACAGTAGCTTATTCGATAAATCTTTGGTATATATTTCTAAAAATTAAATTTAAGATATACAAATATATGTGTCAACTTTCAATAGAAAATATATTATATAAATATTCATTAAGGGTTTAATTTAATTTAATATATATTTATTAATGTGCATTTAATGCATTTATTTCACTGCTCAGCCGAAAGCCGCGAAAAAGCTAATGTGAAGGCAGCTGAAGTCTCAATGCGCTCAGCTCCACTGCCCAACGCTTCAGAGCTTTGGCTTCGTCTTCGGCTTGGGCTTCGCCTTCGGCTGTCGCTTTGGCTTCGTCTTCGGCTTCGTCTCTAGCTTTGACTTTATCACATGGGCAATGCGCGCTTTAGTCGGTGTTGTGCATTCGGCCAGAGCTGACGTGAACACGGAGCAAAGAGAGCGTGCGAGCGAGAGCGAGAGAGAGTGAACTAGACAATACGAAAGAATTGAGCAACTAGCGAACTGACGACGGTTATTTATTTTTTTTGGTCGATCCACTGCAAACTTTTGAGTGAGTCTTGGCGCGCCAAGTGGAATTCAAATCGTCGCCCTGACGACGACTGACTGCATCTGACTGTTCGATTGCCGCAGGAGGCGGAAGAGGAGGAGGAGGAGGAGGAGTGGCACAAGTGATTTTCAAGAAGCCGTCGTCGAGTGGACGCATCGCGCTCTCCACACGTCAATTTCGCCGGTAGCCCAAATAAACGAGTGTCAATTTAATTCGCGACGGCCAATTAGCCAAGTCTGTTAATGGCCCTGTACCATCATTATTATTATGTGTAATAATTTTTTAGTTAAACGCCAAACAACAGTTATTTCGTTTGATAAATGGTCGCGCGTTAAATGTTGTTAATTTCTGTTTGATAACAACTTTTCGTTTTCGTTTCTTTTTTATGCTTTTTTTTTTGGTTTTTGATAATTTGCAAACACGACATGAATTACGATTTACAATTTGAATAATACAAAACAAATATTTTCGATAATTCTGTGCTCACTTTTTGCCCAAAACACAACAAAGAATATTTTTGTGTGTGTGCGTGTGTGTGTGTGTGTGTATTGTGATGTGTTTTTGGCTCAACCTGTTTTAGATCTGGTATCCCGAGCCAAGTCGAATTCCATCCACACATTGAGGTAAGCTGATTAATTCTTCTCTAATTATAGCCATTATTTGCCAACATTAAATAGTATATATGTATGTGTAAATGTGTATGTATGTATGCACATATATCAAAGTCAAATTTCAATCATATTGACCTAAGCAGACTGGCAGTCGCACAGTTGAAGTTATCGCCGATCTAATTTATGCCCGACTTGAGGCCAAAGTCTTGGACAAATGTGTCTCAGTGCTCCCAAGCGTCTAGTTTTCTGCAACGCTGCGCACTGAGCTGCCCCCCAGAGGAAGCTCCAAGCTGAACTTGGGGCCAGACAATGCGCACATGAATGAAACACCTAGAACACCGAGCAGCGATAGTCGACGATCGTATACCCTTGCTAACTGGCCGATCAATTGCCATTATTTTGTGGGGTTTTAATTAAAATTTGTTTGATGATCTATATTTACGAGTTATTTATAAGGTCTGGATTTATCTGGAGCTTATGCTTCTAGAGTAGCAAACATTCGTGAATTTCGATATCTTTTCTGTATTAATGAAACTTTGATGAGAAATATTTTCATTAGATTTTTCTGTTTTAACTCTATATCTTTGTGGCCTTCCCATACAAATTCCATAAAATGTGATTCAGATGTCCACATTCACCTGTTTTTGCAGGTGTTGCATGTTTAGTGACTTAATCATTCAATATTATTATATATATTATATATTATTATATATTATTATGTCAGTATTATATACTTGGGTAGGGTAGCTTAGCACACAGAGAATCGCTTCCGAGCCAGTTGCACTGAACCGCAACAATCAAGGCGATGCATGCGACCATCGATGCTCACCGGTGGCCACTGGCGCTGTCAACTTTTCGCTGACCTTGCTCCACACACACAGGCACACACACACACACGCAAATGTGTAGCAGGTGGCATGGAAAATGTTTGCTATTTTCAGACAGGAAGTGCATTAGAAGCGGAACATTTATGAATTCCATTCTAGATCTAGATTTAACACAAGTAAACACAAGTTCGGCATTGAATTAAATGTTTTCCTATACCATTATTTTCCATTTGATATGGGTTGGAAAGTCAAGGATTCGTAGTTCTTTTATGCCATTTGAAATTGAATTAAAAAAAAGGAAATTCAATGTGAATTATGTTTTTTTCCTAATTAGCATTTTTAGGCGTGGTCGAAAACAGGAAGCATATATATTTTTGATCTGGGTAGATAAGCGTGATGTTTAAGCTCTAGCTTCTTTTGCCTATCGGTCTATTAAAGTTAGAGATGTTTACTTTGTTATTATTTAATTGATTTATTATTATTTTAATTTAATTTAATATTATTGATGATAATATTATTTAATATTATTGAAAATGGAAGAAATTAAAATATATATTTCAGAATTTATGTATGTAAACAAATACATATATAGGTATATACATACATACATATACAAAAACTTTTAAAACAACTTCAATCATATTCTTTGACTCGCTTTGCATAGAAATAAGCTTATAGATAAAAATTTTAATATTGCTTGATGTTTTTTAAAAAGCTTGAAAATTTGTTCAGCGGAAACTGCAATTTGATGGAAATCAAATTTGTATACAAAAAAGTGAATCAGCTATGTTGAAAAATTTTCTGGTCTATAAATTTTAGTATCATATGAAATTTGTTCATCTTTCAAGAGCCTATAGGCAACGTGTAATTTTGGCTCATCTGAATAGGGTTGGCTACTAACACTTAAAAATATTGGCATAGGTATTGTATATTATATATGAATGTAGAATTATATATATCGGCATTCTGTATTAGTTCATGTTCTGATAGGCATAGGTTAATTTTATTCCATGCAATTTATTATTATCATACAACAGTTGCTTATGATAAGGGACTTTCTGATTTGGCTACATTTTAAAATATTTTGTAAGATATTCGTTTTTAAAGATTTGAATTTGATATGTGCTAGATGTATTTTGCGATGTAAAATAAATATTCACATTGGGTTGACGATGAATGTTATATAAATATCCTAATTGTCTGGGAAATGATATATTCCACGAATCGCTTGCCAAGCGAAAATCTTATTACAAAAGTGTAAATGTAGATCCTTGAAGAAGTTGCATGCCAAGCTTTGTCGAGCGGTGTGGCATCCTCGTTACGCAATCTCAGCAGGATGGCAGCGCCAGTTCAAGAAGAAGACAGTTCGAGAAGAACATTGATAGAGTAAAGGCGCTCTGAAGCTGTTTGAATTAAATCATTATATTCTTAACACACGGTTCATTCTATTAATATAAGAAACACACTCATTAAATAATAGTTGCTACGCACGTCGATGGCCCTCGTAGCTAGCACGTTTAATAATTTTTAGATTTATATTTTTTATATTATCTAATAAATAAATAATAATAATAATAGTTGCTACATATACATCTATTACTTATCCTATTTCTCACACTTTTAATTCAATTTATTTCAATTTCTTTTTCTTCATTAAATCAATTGGCCAATTTTCGGTTAGTTTTGGCATCTTTTTTCTTCAGTTGCTTTGTTCTTGTACGCAACGGAACAGCTGTTTGGCCAAAAGCCAAGTGCGCCGCCAGCCTTTGACCCGACCCAGTTCCATATGTCGCAGGTCCCAGTTCCAGTTCCAGTTCCAGTTCCAGTTCGACTTGCAGTTGCACCCTGCTTGACGCCCACCTTCATTTCATTTCATTCCGTTTCGTTTCGTGCCGTTTTGTTTCGTTTCGTGTCGTTTCGTTTGTCATGCAGCCACGTTTCGTTTCCATACCGTTGCTGGCGGTGCAGTAGCCGCACTCAGTGGACAGTAGACTGTAGACTGTAGACAATAGACGGTAGACGGTAGCCGTAGCTGTAGCTGCTTTGCCTCTCACGTTTGGCGGGTTCTTTTGAAAAGTGAAATAGAAATAATAATAAATCGGCTCGATCGATCGCAGCACCAAATAACGACTTTTTGGCACGCGCTGCCTTTCATTTTGCTGCGGCTTTATTTATGTGTGCACTCGGTGCGTGTTAACTGTAATTGATGTCCATGTTGCCGTTGCTTGTTTGTTTATTTGTTTTTGTTTTGTGCATCAAGTGAAGTGAATTAGTTCGAGGGCAGCGTGCGGCAGGCGACGTGCGACGTGCGGCGTGCGGAGTGCGGAGTGCGGCGTGCTCCAACTGGAAAAAGGTATTTTGTCATATGCATATTAATACAGTCGACCTCAAAAATTTTGGGCATTTGTATGTGCAGTGCGCCCTCGATCACGTGAAAGTACTCCAAGCTTTTCAATTTGCGCAATTCCATTTATCAAATTGAATACAAACTGTATACATACATATATCTTTCTCCTCGGGGTTTTTTTGATGGATTTTGCATGAAATTTCAGTGAAAGCATATTAGATCTGTTGACATAATTGATTTCATCTATTGCCTAAATTATAAATTCTGCCCTGATTTAGTTACCTCATATTTTGTTTACTTTATGGAAAGTTTTATGCAGAATCTAAAGTCGTAATCCTGAGGATTTGTTTTGCCTTGTCTGTATATATGATATGATCATCTATATATATGATTATGGGCTCTGTTAATGGTATGCAAGCTGCAAGCGTTTTTTTTTTCCTTTTGGTAAAATACTTTTCTTTTATGCTTTAGTTATATATATAGTATATATATATGTATATATGTATATATTGCGTTCAGTTTCTGTTACTGTTGCTGTTGCTGTTGTCGCTTTCTGGCTTTACTTTGGCAGCTTTCTTGCATAATAAACAAGATCAGCACACAATGTGCAACATTAGGCCAATGTTGGTACGTGGACACTGGCACCGGGCATTGGGGACACGACAACGGGCGCTAAACTGCTAAGAAAACAGAAACCAAAGCCAAAAGCAACAGCAACAGCAAGAGCAACAACAGCAGCAACAGCAACTACAACAAATCGGTGACCGAAAGCCAACGCAACAACAACAACAACAACAACAACGTCGACAGTCGACAGTGCCCGCTTTTGCTCTCGTTTTCAGTGCTCTGCTCTGCTCTGGGCTGCGTGCGGCACATGGCCAATTCGGATATGGCAACTGTATGTGGCATGCCACACGGCTGCACCGTGGCCCGTTGCCCGTTGGCCAGGCCATTTCAGCCCCAGTCTCACGTGCAGCGCATGCCGCATTCGTTGTGAACCTGCTGCCAAAATACAAATGAGATAAACAAACAAAACAAAACAGCTAAAATCGCCAGTCCCCAGCAGAGCTTGCCCCAGCAGCAGCCACAGCAGCGACAGTAACTGCAACTGCAACTGCAACTGTAACTGTAACAGTAAATGTAACTGTAACTGTGTCGCTCCAGCTCCAGCTCCAGCTCCAGCTTCAGCTTTAGATCTGCTGCTGCTCCATTTTGGCAATCTCTTGGTCTCTGCCAAAACAATTTGAGTCTGTCCGTCTGTAGAAAAAAAGTACAAGTATGCATATGTTTATATATAGACACTTGTATATACATTTATATGTGTGAGTATGCATAGACATACATATATGTATATGTATTGTATATATGCATATCTCTGCTGATATATAAACACATAAATCTACATATATGCATGCAAGTCTATATGTGTATGGATATATAAGAGTATATCTACGTATTTATGTACACACACACACTCACACAGACACATCATTATTGTAGAGTTATTGTCCATTGTGCTACAGTTGAGCAACTGCTGCAAGAACTTTCGATAGGCTGGACAAGTATTTGCTGCTATTTATAAAATGACAGATTAAAGCACACATGTATATGTATGTATATATTGTATATCATCGAATAGAAAAAGTTATAGAAATAAAACAAGTATAATTAGATTCACTAAATTCGATTGCTGTTAGACATTCAAGAATCAGGCACGTTCCTCAAGGAACTCAATGGAATAGCATGAGATTCTATCTATTGTTGAAATGTGTACTTCCTATATAGAGATAGAGAATTTGTAGCAAAAGGTATATATGTACAAAAAAGATGAGACTGAA